GCAAGAGGCGTGGAGTTAAAAGATAAAGAATCACACATAAAGTGGGAGTTGTCACAGTTGCTCTTTGCTGATGATACTGTGCTCTTGGGAGATTCTGAAGAGAAGTTGCAGAGATTGGTGGATGAATTTGGTAGGGAGTGCAAAAGAAGAAAATTGAAAGTGAATACAGGAAAGAGTAAGGTTATGAGGATAACAAAAAGATTAGGTGATGAAAGATTGGATATCAGATTGGAGGGAGAGAGTATGGAGGAGGTGAATGTATTCAGATATTTGGGAGTTGACATGTCAGCAGATGGGTCTATGAAAGATGAGGTGAATCATAGAATTGATGAGGGGAAAAGGGTGAGTGGTACACTTAGGAGTCTGTGGAGACAAAGAACTTTGTCCTTGGAGGCAAAGAGGGGAATGTATGAGAGTATAGTTTTACCAACGCTCTTATATGGGCGTGAAGCATGGGTGATGAATGTTGCAGCGAGGAGAAGGCTGGAGGCAGTGGACATGTGGAGAGAATGGAACGAAACAGAATAACTTCAAGAGTGTATCAGTCTGTAGTGGAAGGAAGGCGGGGTAGGGGTCGGCCTAGGAAAGGTTGGAGGGAGGGGGTAAAGGAGGTTTTGTGTGCGAGGGGCTTGGACTTCCAGTAGGCATGCGTGAGCGTGTTTGATAGAAGTGAATGGAGACAAATGGTTTTTAATACTTGACGTGCTGTTGGAGTGTGAGCAAAGTAACATTTATGAAGGGGTTCAGGGAAACCGGCAGGCCGGATTTGAGTCCTGGAGATGGGAAGTACAGTGCCTGCACTCTGAAGGAGGGGTGTTAATGTTGCAGTTTAAAAACTGTAGTGTAAAGCACCCTTCTGGCAAGACAGTGATGGAGTGAATGATGGTGAAAGTTTTTCTTTTTCGGGCCACCCTTCCTTGGTGGAAATCGGCCAGTGTGATAATAATAAAATAACCAACATCACAACCACTACCACCATCACAACCACTACCACCTTCTACTGTTATCACAATCGCTACCACCATCACAATCACTACCACCATCACAATTGCTATCACCTTCTACCTCCATCACTACCACCCTCTACCACCATCACAATTACTACCACCCTCTACCACCACCACTACACCCTCTACCACCACCACTACAACCCTCTACCACCACCTCTACAACCCTCTACCACCATCACTACCACCCTCTACCACCATCACTACCACCCTCTACCACCATCACTACCACCCTCTACCACCATCACAATTGCTATCACCCTCTACCACCATCACAATTGCTACTACCCTCTACCACCATCACAATCACTACCACCCTCTACCACCACCACTACAACCCTGTACCATCATCACTACCACCCTCTACCACCATCACAACCACTACCACCATCTGCCACCACCGCTTTCATATTTTTCTACAAACTTTTTCTTAAATTATATGTGTTGCTCACATTCTTTACCATAGGGCTGGTACTAGAAGCTTTCTTGGGGCCCATGGTGGCTTATTTAGCAGTTACAAACACTAAAAACAATGGAAAAATCCAAAATATATCGTATGTACGCTTGGAATCGTCCTCACTGGCTTTGTAAACAATGGCACACTTGCAGGTACACAGAGTGAGTGGTCGGGCCCGCTCAGGGCGTTGTGCGGACACGTTCAGGACTTAAGCTCTTAACCAAGTTTTTAGGTGTTAACCAAGAAAATTTTTTTACGCCAAAGCGAGGCATTAACCAATTTTGGCGTTAGCCAGTGCAGGTGTTTGCCGAGGGTCCACTGTATACAATATTGTTTATTATGTCATATTAGAACAGTTGTGATAGATAAATAAGCTGTAGAGTTGGTATTAGCATTATCTTGAAGTAATTTCTCCTGCCTCCCAAGAGTAGGAATTCTGCTGGAAAGGATTAATGGCATTTCAGTTAATTTCAATGAGGAAAATTGATTTTATATACGAGCAAATTGAGTTACGAGCTAGGTCACTTAACGGATTAAACTCGTAAGTCAAGGTACGACTGTATACTGTTACAGTAAGAAGAAGAGTAAGCCAAAAAAAAAAAAATTAAATTTTGTAACTGATACAATGCAGAGTAGTAGTAAAATAAAGCAAAAATCTAACCTTAGTGGAGTAAAAATTTATGTACCCCAAGGCACTGTTCTAGCACTTTACTGTTCCTCATTTTCATTGCAGACATAGATAAAACACTAGCTACAGTTTTATATCATCATTTTTGGGGAAATACAAAAATAAACATGAGTCATCATCATTGAAAGACATGGAAAAATTGCAAGAAGATGTAAGCAGAATTTTTCAGTGGGAAGTAGAAAATAACAATGTTTATTGGTGACAAATTTCAACTGTTCAGATAAATAAGAAATGAAGATCTCAAAAGGAACATTGTATACAAGACACAGGACCACTAAACACAATGAGAGACTAAACAGTGAAAAACCTGGGTGTAATAATATCAGATGACCTATCATCTAGAGAACACAATAAAGCAAATATTGCAATAGCTAGAACAATGATGGGATGAACAGTTTTTCAAATGAAAAATATTGCCTGTAATGACTGTTCAAATCACTTGTACTCTCTCGCCCAGACTACTGTTATGTGTTGAGGACTGTATTCAAGGAAGGAGAGTTATCAGAGCTGAAACAGATGTAGAGATTGTTTACTGCCTGCAAAGAGCCAGTTCATTCATTCATTCATTCATTAAAGATTTGCCGGTGCTTCCGGCCCGGGTCTTCTCCAGATGGTGACCCGGCGGTGGCCCCCTGGGCGGGGGTGTCGTTCGTCTTCTTCATTCTTCTATCTTCTCTCTTGGGCCCTCCAAAGAGCCAGTAATGCATTTAGACTACTGGAAATTCCTCAGTATGAGCGAGAGAGAGAGAGAGATTGATTGATACTGGAGGGCCTAGTCCCTAATCTGCATACTACCATAATGTGCTAGAGTGAGAGGTGTGGAAGGACATGTGCAATGAACCCACTGAAAACCTGAAGTGCCTTGGCCACAATACAAGAACACTGTATTAACATCCTTGAGTCCAGACCATTCAGCATACTACCAGCAGATATCAGAGAGACTGCTGGAACAAGTCTAGAGGTTTTTAAGAGGGAACTTGATCATTCCCTTTGCTAAGTGCTAGATCAACCAGGCTGTGATGAATATGTGGGCAAGCTAGCCACCAACAGCAACAACCTGGTTGACCAAGCAAGAACCAGAAAAGCTTGGCCACAGGCAAGGCTGCAGGAGTATTAAGGCTTTTGAAACTCGTCACAAGTACAATATATCACAGGTATTCAGCAAAGTGAGTTGAGAAAAGATACAGTTGGAGAAAAAGTTTTTATTGTGGCAGTATTTCACTTGGTGTACAATTTTTATGAAGTCAGTGATTGACTTAATAATGTCATTGTCTTTCCTTCACACCCATTTATGCATGTATCACTTCTTGCTGGAGTGCTGGGTTTAGTATGCTGATTACTATCTGTATCAGATTTTTTTTTTTCATAATGCAGTAAATTATCCATGACAAAGGCATGATAATTTATTAAATTATACTTCTCTATGATCATTCCATTCTCATAGGTTGTAATTCCAAGTGATGCATAAGAGTTAAATTGGGCCTAGAGCAACCTGGGAAATAATATGCTGAAAGACAACATGTTGAATGGAAGAATGCAATTAAAACATAACATGGTACACTGGCCTTAACCCTTTCAGGGTCCAGAGGCCAAATTTCAAAGTGCGCATCAGTGTCCAAGAATTTTCAAAAAATAATTTTGTTATTTTTTTCTTATGAAATGGTAGAGAATCTTTTCCTGAAGGTAATAAAACAAAAAGTATGAAATTTGATGGAAAATTGACGAAATTATGCTCTCATGAATTTTGATGTGTCAGTGGTATGTACGCATCAGCTATTTTGCCGACTTTGACTCCCATTTTAGGGCAATTACTTTATTCCAGTCGGCCAAATTCTTAGCTATTTCACTAGTATTACATCTATTCTATCGACTGAGCACAAGAAATTGCCAACTCAACTGCTTCAACTACAAAATAAAGTGATTGGAAATTGGTAATTTGGCCAATTTAGTGCAAAGTTCAAAATATTCCAATTTTAAAATAGGGTCCAGAATAAACAATGCAGGCATTCCTGGCACTAAACTAACATTTCCTCTATTGATTAGTTACATTTTCAGGCTTTACAAATGAATTCCATTTTGATTTTTAATTCACATAATGAATTTTTATTCAAACCAAAAAATAGAAGATTTACTGTCATGCAGTATTGTAATAATTGTATAAATAATATCAGCACATTTGTGAATGTATATTAGACCCACCAGCTGGCGTGTATTAGACGTGTGAGGTCATTTGTTTACTCTTGAACTTGGGTAAAAATTTAAAATTTTCGCTACTTCGAGCTCAGTTTCAAGCCATTTTCAGTACTAAACCCAATCAAAATCATCTCTATTTCTGTAATATATCTTCCATTCTATCAAATCAGACCAAGAAATTGCAAATACAACTATAAAAAACATACGAAAAAACACTGCAAAGTTGCTGTTTTAATCGAAAATTACGGTCTCAGTTTTTTTTCTCTCATTATGCACTGTGTGCTGCAGGATTTGTTTTATGTGGTGCACACATAACACATAGATGTATTCTCTCATATCTAGGCCAAAATTTACCGCTCACAGGTTATCAGAGCGAGCTGAGCTCATGGCGTAGATCTAAGGTTTGGAACCTCAACGTAAAGCCGTAGATCTACGGCATGGACCCTGAAAGGGTTAAATTTGCATGTTAAGAAATTTTATTTTAATTTTTTTTAAATTTTGAATATGAACCTTTAAATGCATGATGCAAGTATAGAATGGAGAGTAAAATTCTAACTGAAATGAGTAAGAATCTCATTTTGAGAATAGAATTTAATTTTATTAATTTTTTCATAATTTATTTGTTGTATTTCATGACAGCTTAACTTTTCACCAGGATGATGTTGGTTGGTGTAGCGGAGCAACTGCAGCAGGCGGAACTCCTGGAGAAGCACCCCAGTCCCCTAACAACTCGGCAACCTCCTCACGATCTTCTGGTTGTGATTCCAACCTAGAAGAACCTTGCCAGCCACATCCTGGTATGAGAGGTGAGAGTCATTCACTGAAAGTGCATTTTGCTTGAGAAACTTGGGTTAATATTTTGCACTTGTCTTTAGATACAGTAATAGAGTTACAAATTAACTGATGCTTATTTAAATAACCTTAATGCTATCCTAGTTTCTCTATATCATCATTATACTTTTTTATATAAAAGTCTAGAATTTTGGAAGGAAAGTACAGTCCTATCACTGAAGGATGGATAGGGATATTGCAGTTCATGGGGTCATTTGCATTGTAATGTCCTGAAACTTTGGCAAGACAGCTTCTGACTGAGTAATAACAAATACATTTCCTTCTGTAGGTCACCCTACCTTGTTGGGAAATGACTGATGATATTTACAAAAATAGACATCGTTCTTTAGTACAGTAGGAATGCCTGTATCCACAGGTTTGGTTTCCTCGGTTTCAGTTATCCACAGGGGCGGGGTGGCAGGATTCAACTAGGAAATTTTAATAATAGTCTAATTTCAGTTATTTATTGTAAGTTAAGAAGGTGGTCTGAAGTGTATACTAGAAGTTTTGTAAAGTTTGCCCAAAATTAAGAAGGAAAAAATTTTGATATGGCAACACCTTGGCAAAAATTGGTGCCAAGTTGTTAACCCTTTGACTGTCACAGGCCCCTTTCTGAAGCTGTCATTCTATGTTGATAAATTTTTGGAAAAAAAAAGAAAATTATTTTTTCTTATGAAATGATAGAGAATCTTTTCCCGATGGTAATGACACCAAAAGTATGAAATTTAGTCGAAAGCTCACGGAATTATGCTCCCGCGAAGTTAGTGGTCTCGGGGACATATACGCATTGGCAATTTTGCCGATTTTGAGCCCTGTTTTTGGCCAATTCCGTTGTTCCAGTTGACCAAATTCATAGCTATTTCTTTATAACTCCATTTTTTCTATCAGTTGAGTACAAGAAACCATCCATTTACTGATTTGAACTACCCAATAAAGTGGTCAGAAATTGGCAATTTGGCCAATTTCATGCAAATTAAAAAAGATGCCAATTTCAAAATAGGGTCCAGAATAAACAATGTAGACATTCTTGGCACTAAAATAACGTATCCTCTGTTCATTAGTCATGTCTCTAGGCCCCTCTTATATTACTATTGCTTTCTATTTTGATTTTTTATTCATTCAAAAAAATACAAAATTTACTGGTATGCAGACTACTGTATTATTGTAAAAATGGTATAAATAATATCAGTGCACTAGTGAAAGAATACAGTGGACCCTTGACCAGTGATGGCATCGATTAACGATAAATCTGACTAGCAATACATTTTATCGCAAAAATTTTGCCTCGATTAGCGCTAAAAAACTCGACCAACACTATTCGTTCCGTCCGAGACGCGTCCACTTCTGGCCAGTGTTTACAAGCCAGCCAGCCACCGCGGTCGCTTCCAAGCATACAATCGGAACATTTCATATTATCACAGCCTTTTTAGTGATTGCACCTGCAAAATAAGTCACCATGGGCCCCAAGAAAGCTTCTAGTGCCAACCCTACAGCAAAAAGGGTGAGAATTACTATGGATATGAAGAAAGAGATCATTGCTAAGTATGAAAGTGGAGTGCATGTCTCCGAGCTGGCCAGGCTGTACACAAAACCCCAATCAACCATCGCTACTATTGTGGCCAAGAAAACGGCAATCAAGGAAGCTGTTCTTGCCAAAGGTGCAACTATGTTTTCGAAACTGAGATCGCAAGTGATAGAAGATGTTGAGAGACTGTTATTGGTATGGATAAACGAAAAACAGATAGCAGGAGATAGCATCTCTCAAGCGATCATATGTGAAAAGGCTAGGAAGTTGCATGACAATTTAATTAGAAAAATGCCAGCAACTAGTGGTGATGTGAGTGAATTTAAGGCCAGCAAAGGTTGGTTTGAGAGATTTAAGAATCGTAGTGGCATACATAGTGTGATAAGGCATGGTGAGGCTGCCAGTTTGGACCAAAAAGCAGCTGAAAAATATGTGCAGGAATTCAAGGAGTACATAGACAGTGAAGGACTGAAACCTGAACAAGTGTTTAATGGTGACACTGACAATGTTGTGAAACACTTTAGGAATGTCATAAAGGAACGGGAGGTACAGGCCTCTATGGGCAGATATGTTGCGTGACAGAGGTCCAGTGACTCTCAAGCTGGTCCTAGTGGCATTAAAAGAAAAAGGGAAGTAACCCCAAAAAAGGACTTGCCACCTCAAGTCCTAATGGAAGGGGATTCCCCTTCTAAACACTAAGACCATCAACACACTCCCCTCTTCCCATCCCATCAATCATCACCAGATCTTCAATAAAGGTAAGTGTCATGTAACTGTGCATGTCTTCTTCAGTATGTGTGTATTAAAATTAATATTTCATGTGTTAAAATTTTTATTTTTCAATACTTTTGGGTGTCTTGCACGGATTAATTTGATTTCCATTATTTCTTATGGGGAAAATTAACTTGACTAACGATTATTCTGACTAACGATGAGCTCTCAGGAACGGATTAATAGCGTTAGTCGAGGGTCCACTGTATTAGACTCCCCGGTTGAAGTGTATTGGACATGTGGTGTAATTTGCTAACTCATGAACATTGGTAAAAATCAAACATTTCTGCTACTTTGAGCTCAATTTCAAAGTCGTTTTCATCGTGAAAGTAATCAAAATCATCTCTATTTCTGTAATGTGTTTTTCCATTTTATCACTTGAGACCATGAAAACGAGAATACAACGATAAATACTAAAAGAAAATACACCTCAAAGTTGGCATTTTAATCCAAAAAAACGGTCAGCTTTTTTTTCTCATTACGCACTGCGTGCTGCAGGATTTTTTTTATGTGATGTACACTGACCACACAGACCCATTCTCTCACATGTGGGCCTACCAGCTTTCTCCTGCTTGATTTGAAGCCGCTAGAATTTACGCGTATAAATACGTCAGAAACGGTGGCGCGTAAGATGTATATACACGACCGAAACAGTCAAAGGGTTAATTAGAAGAATGTTATAGTTGGCTTTACATGAATAAAGTAAAGGATAACCAAAGTGTGGCATTACCAAAACTGTTATCCAGAGGGCTGAGGAGGGGTTATTGAGATGATTTGGACATGTAGATACTGTAGAACGAAATAGGATGACTTCGAGAGTGTATAAATCTGTAGAGGAGGGAAGGGAGGATAGGGGTCAGCTTAGGAAAGGTTGGAGGGAGGGGGTAAAGGAGGTTTTGTGTGTGAGGGGGCTTGGACTTCCAGCAAGTGTGTGTGATTGTGTAAGATAGGAGCGAATGGAGACGAATGGTTTTTAGGACTTGACATGCTGTTGGAGTGTAAGCAAGGAAATGTTTATGAAGGGATTCAGGGAAACCGGCAGACTGGACTCGATTCCTGGAGATGGGAAGTACAGTGCCGACACTGAAGGAGGGGTGTTAATGTTGCAGTTTTATAACTGTAGTGTAAGCATGCCTCTGGCAAGACAGTGATGGGGTGAATGATGATGAAAGTTTTTCTTTTTTGGGCCATCCTGCCTTGGTGGGAAACGGCTGATGTGTTAATAAAAAAAAATATAAAATCTTAGTATATTTTTTCTTCTTTCAACAAACCTACCATATCCCATCGAGGCAGTGGTGACCCAAAAAAAATAACATAAGGTTCTCTTTTTAACTTTAGTAATGTATACAGGAGAAGGGGTTACTAGCCCCCTTGCTCCCATCATTATATTGTATCTCCGAAAATTCTTAATTTTATATTTTTTTATATAAATAAAACATAAATGGTAAAGGCAGTTACAAATTCTCTTCATGGGATTGTAAAAACCATGATTCCTGAATAATGTGTGTAAAAATCATAACTGTTTTTAAATAATGAAGAAAATTTTGCTAATAAAAGAATGACTTACTTTTGAGAAAAACAATAAAATGTTATTCATGGATACGAAACATCTTGGGATAGATAGTACTCCTTTCTTCCTCAGTCTCTTTCCATTATAAAACATCAATTTTCCACCAATTCTACTCCTCTTTGCATCCATTCCTCACTCATCAGTAGACTAACACAATATCACATCACCTGCACTATCACCTCGCTTCATCTCATCATCGTAGGCATTATATTATTGTCACATCATCATAACATCACAGGAACAGTGAAGAACAGAGAAGCCGGTGAGTACCCACAATAGGCTAAGATCTTTTTTTAATTAAGTGGGAGGTAGCTGTGCTCGGACAAGCGAGTACGAAAATCTTCGAAATATTCAAAAAATGAGTTAAGCTTACCAAAAATAGTTCAACAATCTGGCAACATTTTGGTGTAAATCTCATCTCTGTACTATGTTTCTAAAGAAAATAATAATAATACATGTATAATTATAATGAATAATACTGTATAATTATTATTATTATTCTTTCTTTCAACACACCGGCCGTATCCCACTGAGGTGGGGTGGCCCAAAAGGAGAAACTAAAGTTTTTCCTTTTCTTTCTTTCTTTCAACACACCAGCCGTATCCCACCGAGGCAGGGTGGCCCAAAAGGAAAAACAAAAGTTTCTCTTTTCACATTTAGTAATATATACAGGAGAAGAGATTACTAGCCCCTTGCTCCCAGCATTTTAGTCGCCTCTTACAACACGCATGGCTTATGGAGGAAGAATTCTGTTCCACTTCTCCATGGAGGTAAGAGGAAATAAACAAGAACAAGAACTAGAAAGAAAATAGAAGAAAACTCAAAGGGGTGTGTATATATATGCTTGTACATGTATGTGTAGTGTGACCTAAGTGTAAGTAGAAGTAGCAAGACATACCTGAAATCTTACATGTTTATGAGACAGAAAAAAGGACACCAGCAATCCTACCATCATGTAAAACGATTACAGGCTTTCGTTTTACACTCACTTGGCAGGACGGTAGTACCTCCCTGGGCGGTTGCTGTCTACCAACCTACTACCTAGGATTATTATTATTACATGTACTTAATATATTAAAATGTAGGTAATGTACTCATTGGAGCGGAGG